GGATCGAGCAACATCCGATGATGAACTTTGCGAAATTAATTGCCCACTTTAAGTCGAGATAGTGAATATAAGAACAATTAGAGAATAGAAATGTAGAATTAAAGCACCCAAAGGAGACTGTATTATACTTTTTATAATTTTGTATTAACAAGAATAGAAACGCGAAGAGCGTGTTCCATTTGTTGGAGAAAAAAAAGGAAATGGATTGGACTTAACGATGATCGTTAAATCCGATGGTTTTTACTCCCACGTCCGTTAATTAAATAATTATTGGAGAATGCGCAAAAGTGCTATTGAGTTAATTAAAACGTATAGAACTAACGAACATTCGAATCGAACTTTATAACGACTGTAATCCCGACCGTCTCGAAGATTTGTCACGGAAACTTAGACTTAAGTTAATTTATGTAAACTTCAGCGAAGAATTATACATATTTAAGATCTTTATGTATTCAATCAAATATAATATACAATTCATGTTTTTTGTATGTCAAAACTAGTCATTCCCTCTTTCATTTAAAGAAAATAAAAATAAAAAGAAAAAAAAATAAAATTTTTAGTATTTAAAAATATATAATATTTAATAAAAAATTATCACTTTTTATATGTATGTCTATATATACGTACATATATGTATAAAATTGTTTATACATATATAGTATATATACAATATATATATATATATATATATATATATGTATATATATATTATTATATTATTATATATTATTATTATTATTATATTTATTTTTCAAAGTTTATGACTGTTTATTTGAATTTTTTTCACTCCAAAAGATTTGATTTTATGTTGCGACAATAAATTTGTTTTATCTGATTTAAATAAGTGGTAATTTTAAATAATAATATGTTAGCTAAATTGTCTTTTTTTATTTACAATCTGTAAAAGTGTAATAGATGTTAGAGATGTACATAATGTGTAATTACTAATTCACTCACAGTGAAACACGTGTATTGATGAACTCGATGGTTACAGTCATTGCATTAGCTTTACCATGTGAAACGAAATCAATTGCCGTCATTTGCCGTCAAAGCCACCGAGCAATTTAGTCGGAAAAAAGGCACATGATTGTCGTGCAAATCATGATAGTGACTAAAATCGATTAACCACGAATAAATGACGTAAGCAAAATATACTGCTGGATATCTTCGGGCTCGATCTACGTTAAAACTATTACAACGCATCGAACATACATTGTATATACCTGTGTACATAATCCAGTAATTTGTAAAATAAATATTTATTTTCATCGTTAAATGGAATGGCTTATCTAGTCAAAGCATATATAAATAATTAATAGATATTGCATTAATGCAATATTAATATATATCCGTTATTTTTTCTTTCTCTTATCTATAAAACGAGTTGCTTCAAATTAAATTCACTCGTGTATAAAAGAATTTCAGAAAGAGATGTTACCTAAAGTAATACAACAAACATCTGATAATCTTATTTATCTTTTTGTTATCTTTTATTACATTGTGGACAATGTAATTAAGGATATGATCATAATTGCCGCAATTATATTACGCATTAAAATAATATACATTGTTGTAAAGCAAGGCACATTACAAAATATCTTTGAGAAACGAGCGTTATTCCCAGTTATACGTCGACGGGTTATTATTGTCCGATTAACCATGAACGGCGTGATTTGGAGCAAGACGCAAAAGACTTTCGTGCCAATTTCCAGCGTGCCGGCGTTTGCCGAAATGCAGCAAGAACGTCTTAGACAAAGTCGAGCATTGGAAACCCATAATTTCCAATTGCAAAACTTAACTCTCACATCTTTTCAGGTATGCCTACATTAAACGTAGATGGCTGAGTTCTTGCACATGTTTTACGGTATCTTTTCAAAAATTAAAATTAGCCTAAGCAAACATTAAAGTTATTTTGGTAATATCCGGTAATTAATAATAAATTAATAATAAATTTCTAATAATAAATTTCCTTAAACCTCTTTAAATTACGGAAAATTTGTATATTCGAAATTATCCATTGCAAAATATTTAAATTTTGTGACATTTTTATATGTAGTTTTAATTTAATTGCAATTTCTAAAAAAATAAAATTAGATAATTATCTGTATTAATAGTAACAATATCAAGTAAAATAAACACAATAAAAAAAATATTGTCGTAATTATAATAATGCAAGAGATAAAAAAATTCTTTTATATTTTTGGAAAAAATTTTAAATTTATTATTCTTAAAAACCTAACATATATCATATAATTAATTGATTTAAATAATTAGAAATTAAGAAATGCAAATTAACAACAAAAATTGGAAGATAATTTCTGTGGATATATATTTTAGGAACCGCGTTTCTTCGAATTTTACGACAATGATACGAAAGTTACAGGACTCTGTGGTGAATTATGGAATCTTCTTTCTGAAAATTTGAACTTTACGTAAGACTAAACTTTAATCAGATCGCAATTTAATATTGTACGAGATTAATTGTCGACAAAGCTAACGGTAAACAATAAAATAAAAAGATAATTCTTAGATTACAGCCGATCAGATCAAATGAAAGCAGCCTGGGTGCGTCACAGAACAAGACAATTTTTGTACGTGGATTATTAGGCGTAATTACGCGTAATGAAACCTTTGCGATACCCAAAGTCGAAACGTATAGTCTTCGACTTTTAGCTACTGATTTTACAATGCCTTTATGGATGAACAAGTATGTTTAAGTGCTCTATTTCACCATAATGTATTTTGAAAGCGTTAAATAAAATACAGAAACAATGCAATTATTGAAGAGAAGACATGTAACCGTAATAAAATTTATTTTTATAAAAATTAGATTGCTATAATAATATTAGAATAATTTTACAGGAATCGATTGTATATTCAACAAGAGATAATACACGACAGCACATGGATGGCAAAAGTGTTTTCCTGGAAAATATGGTGTTTTATGTTGGTTATGTATTTAGTACTGAGTGTATGCAGTTTTTGGTCACAAATTATTTTTGAACGGATCGGAAATAATTGCAGACACTCGTCTATTGGTGAACATATTTTTTACAATTTTGGAATGATCTGCAATCAAAGTATGAATGATTTATGTGATTTTATCCTGTTCCTGTCCTCTAACTGCTAAATTTAAAGCATTGTTAAATTAAAAGCCAATATATCGATTAATTTGAATAACAATTACAATATAATAGGTTACATTCCTGATAATCTTATTGGAAGATCAAAGATAATAGAAGTATCGCTGGGCCTTTTTTGTTCTATAATGTCCATGTCATTTGGAGCTTTGTTATTTCTTTTCATAGCAAAAAGAATTAACATTCTACCGCCATTCAATAATCTGGACTCTATGCTGGCCGATTCTATATATAACGTTGTTTCTTTGAAAGGTTCCGTTGGCCATATAGCTATTACGGTATTATTAAATACTTATAAAATATTGTTTTATGTATATTAGACTAATTGATTAATTTATTAATTTCTGAATTACATCAAGGTTATTCTCGAGTAGTACTTTAGTACCGTCTATGTATATAATACTTACTGTGTGTATATAAATATTAACTATTTTTGACATTTGTAGGCAAGCCCTGAAAATTTTTTTATACGGGTAAGAACTGCGAGACGCTTCGTCATTGCATCAACAGTCGAGGAAATGTTTCAATTGGCATGTAGGAAAGGTAAAAAGAAGAAGTATACCATACTCCAAGGTGAAGACGAATATAAGACAAGAGGTCAGATTAAATGTTATATGACCCCAATTGGAGAATCTTATTTGCGGATGTGGATAGCTTCTGGTATCGTGAAGAATTGTAAATACAAAAGAAGCATCGATCTTGGGTAAAAAAATATTGGCGGCAATTATATCACATATTATGCTTACATACTATGCGAACGAATAATTTTTATGTCTAGGATACTTAAATTAAAAGAAGTTGGATTGTGGAAGGCGTTAACAGAGCGTTGGATGGCGCAGAAACGCGAACGACATGAGAATATGACTATGGAACCGATTGAAATGGATCAAGTTATTTTGATAATTTTAATAATGTGCTGTGGAACAATAATGGCTATTATTATTTTTATAATCGAAAAAATTGTGTATAAGCTCAAATCATTGTGACTACTTTTCTCTAATACTTGTAGCCAAGGGTGTCCGCAGAATTTTTTTTTAGAGGATGGCATGATCCAAGTTTGCATATACTACTCACGAATATATCTTACAGATTTAATTGCAGCGAAATTATACAGCAACTCGCGTTCGGAAACTATTATACTACTATGTATTTATTTCACCAACGCTGTTATTATTACTTAAGTCACAATTAATCCTGTAATAATTGAAATTACAATGACCGAATAACAGAAATATAAATCAAACTTGATTAATTATAAGTTTCATTAAAATTTCAATTGTCTTATATGTTTTTACATATTTTAATTAAATATGTTAACTTTTTAACAGAGTCTCTGCGAATTATATAACTTAATTTTTAGCAGATAATACAAAATAAAACGGAATCACCTAAACCAAAAAAACAATTGTAAAAAAAATCAAATGTCGAAAAATTATCTTAACACGATTTATAAAAATGTATATGGCATATGAATAATTTCTTCTTTGATTAATATACGAAATAAGATATCTGGTCATGATGACAGTAGTGATAATTGAATTTTACTGAACTAATTAGGATCATTAGTAAATTAGACGAATGCGATTATATTGTCTAATATCCATCAAGTCTATCATCTAGCAAAAATGGCTAGAAAAACTAATCCACGTGCTATCGATCCTCAACAATATCGTGACGCCTGTCCATTATACGCGATATCGACCCATTACAGAAAAATAATAAGTCTTATTTTACGGTGTGCGTGGAAACTGCAATCTAACATGTTCTTATTCGCTTGTATCTTACACGAAATCATCGACGCGGAATTAGTCCAACGATAGAAGTTCGCAAGAGATGGCAACTACGCGATTCGTTCTAAAGGTCGCAATTTTTCAGCTCGCGATCTGGGGCTGCTATGCCGTCAATGGGATAATCTGGAGCAAGGAACAGCAGGAATTCGTGCAATTGTTTAGCATCCCGCAATTCGCCGCTCTTCAAAAGGAAAATTTGGCAAAACGTCAGGCGATAGAAATTCAGGATATGAGGGGGGAAATGGTGAAAGCTGTGTATTATGAGGTGCAAACACGCGTGTGCATGATTCTAAAGAGATCAACAGCTTTTTTCCTGCAAAATATTACAAACTTCTCAAAGAGTTTAATAATAAATTTACAGCATTTAGAACAGTTTAATAGGCTTATGATACTGCCAATATGTATAATTTAATAACAATCATGAAAATCCCTTATGCTTACAGGAAAAAAATATGATAATGTATTATGACAATGATACAAAGATCACGGGATATGCCGGTGAAATGTGGAATTTTCTCGCGGATTATCTCAATTTTACGTAAGTTGAAACAAAAAGACTAATATTTTCAAATGCATTGAAGGACAAAAGTTTTTAGATAATAGCACATACATGTTTGGGATTTTGCACTGTGCACTTGTTCACTTCACGACAGAGTTTGTTGATCGTAAGTCGAAGTATTACAATCCTCAGATTCATCCCGATAAAAACCACCGATCGAAATTTCGGTACAAGACTGGAAAATGGTAGTCAAAACGGTATGGGCGGCATGCTCGCGCGAAATGAAGCGCAGATAATCTTGAGAACTGGATTCTATCTAAGTCGCATGGACATCATAGATTATACAACGCCTCTTTGGAAAAGCAAGTAAGCTTATCCATCAACACAGACATAAGTAAATAATAAATTATAATCAAGGAACTATTCATCCATGAATCGATTCGAAATTATTAGAAGACAATATAATTTCCATCTTGCCTTCCTTCTTTTAGTAAGAGTTAGAAATGGGCAAAGAATACTATCATTTACAACTATTATTAATATAACTGTTATTAATAAATTAATATTGTAGGTTTCACATTTATGTACAACCGGAATGGCTGTTCAATAACACATGGGTATATACGCTATTTTCATGGCAAACCTGGTTTTATACAGTATTTTTGTTCATCATCTTAAGTTGCGTCGGCTATTTTCTGCAAAAAGTACCGACGGACAAAGCTAAGTACAAAAGGAAAGGCTCTGCAGATTTTAGTCTAAGCGATCATTTCTTCTATTCGTTCGCCATAATGAGCGCGCGAGGTGCATAATACAATTAAGGAAGAAAATTAAGCAAAATTGTGAAAAGAATAAATATTTGTCAATGTTTATTGTATGAAAAGAATAAAGGAAGATTTTTCGATTAAAAAATTAATCAAATATTCAACAATTGACATAACAATAAGACAAAATAATTTATTTTATAGGCTATGTACCTGACGATTTTTACAACAAGTTCAAGATTTTATCACTATCGAAAAGTATATTCGCATGGCTTGTACTGTTAGCCTTTAGTGCTCATCTTATATATCGTATGACAAATAGAGAATTGATATTGCCGTTTGATGATGTAGATTCTCTTATTACTAATACAAAATATATCCTATTGGTGTTCCGTGGCAGCTTCATCTCCGATTACCTTAAAGTAAACATCGAAATTATTTGCATATATATTTATTGCATATATATTTAATTTTATTACATTAAAAATATTAATTAATTATTAAATAATAGTAATTTATTGATTCATGTTTTGTGCTAAAAGCATGGCAATGATTTCTTCCGTAATGTAGAAAAGTTTACAAACAAATATAGTAAGAAAAAAGTAGGGGAGACCGGGGACAAAAGTTACATTTTAAATTTAAAGTCTTATAACAGTTAAATTATAATATTTACATTTAAAAAAATATATATCTTTAGATGTAGAATTTGTTTAAGTACAAAATTTTCTTGTGTTCAATCTTGTAATGTAACTAAGAAAAAAATTATTACTGTACTTTAAACACTATGAGAAATACTGTTACAAATGTCCCCAGCCCCAGGGACGGTTGTAACAGTAGAGGGGGACAATCGTATTATATTATTTATAGGTAAACATTTAGCTATTTATTAAATTTTATACAATACAATTATTTATAATCATATATGTCAATGTTATATGAATATATATAATATATATTTAATAAAATTAACTATAATAAAATAAAAAGAACAAATCTATATAAAACCGGAAAAAAGCTCTTTTTCTTTCTAATAAGTTAAAATAACATTGTGAAGAAACTTAAATAAAATCAAGCAAATCCGGAGACAATTATAACGCTATAACCGTATCCAGGCATCGATGTTACAATTGTCCCCCAATGATATTTTATAATTCGAAGTAAAGTTTCAGATCGGAAGAGCACAC